TTTCCTGTCTGAACCTCATAAAACAGCCTTCTGCTCTGTAGAGATAAATGTGGTTTATATGAGAGAAGCGTTTCCAGCCACAGTGGGTTTTGCCTTAAACCCTGTATCTCGCAGTTTAATCTTGCTGTGGGTTAGCTTGGTTTATTTACTGTCCTATAAGTGGAGAATTGAACTTTGGGAAATGAATGGCGTGGTTTATCCACTTTAGCATCTAGAGCAAAGCACTTTTGCATTAAATGAATGCATGCAGTAGGACACCCTCCAGACACGGCTTGGAACAGCCCAGCACTTTGCTCACAGCATTGCCAGCAGAAGCACCAGGCTGATGCAGGCACCCACACCCAGCACTCCAACAAGGGCACTCCATGGGGCCAGCACAGTGCTGAGCAGGTCACTGTACCCCGTGGCACAGCAAAACGCTGTTTCCATATACAGCTTCTACTCTGCATTTGTAGGAGAAAATAGGGTTATTTTTGTTCTTTTCTTGCAGAATCAAATAGATTATTAGAAATTTTCTTCAATATGTTTCTAGTGGAGGATGAAAAAGCTCTTTAGGGATTGTTTAGTGTTTCCTATTGAACTCTATAGGGTTTTAGTGTCATTTAAGGAGAGCCTGCTGCTATCTGCATTATTAAATCCCATATAACTTCTTCATAAGAAAGTAGAAAATCTCAGCGATTATAAACCCAGCATCTCTGCAGATGAAAAATGTTCTCACAAGAAATCTCAGAGCATTACAAATGTATTCAAAATAATAACACCAGAAGGATTTTCTACAAGCCATAATGTGGAAAGCATCAAACACCGAAAAATGGGACTAAGTGTCCTTTGACCTAGAGGAAATGTTGGAAATGGAGCTCTCAGCTCTGTCACGGCCTGATCCTATCCTTGTGAGAATAATGTGAGCATTGCTACTGACTGAAGGGACCTCTGAGGAGCACAGCGGCTCAGCTGTGGCACGGCGTGCACACACTGCTTCTTCAGAAGTCACCGCACTTCTCCGCTGCCTGGAAGCCAGCAGAGCCCATCCCAAGGCAGGCTGAGTTGGGAAAAAACACAGCATCGGATGGCAGCGCTGCAGGGACAGCCCAGCCGGGAGTCTGCAGCAGCACTGTGCTGCCCAGAGCAGGTCAGAGCAGGGCTGTGCCTCCAGGCTCTGCTTAGAGAGTTAAAGTGTCACAGAACGGCTTGGGTTGGAAAGGATCTCAAAGACCACCTTGTTCCAACCCCTGCATCCCAGGACGCGGCTGGCTGAGCTGTGAGGGCACAGTGCTGGCTCGTGGCAGTGCCACCCACCAGTAAGGCAGGCACGGCAAGGCAGCAAAAAGGGACGGAGCGCTGCCAGCCAGGAGCTCACAAACGCTCTGCCTTCTCACAGCTCCCTCACTGCATCCGAGAGCCATAAAATAAGCACCAAAGTAATTTACTTCTGCTTCAAGGCCCCTTTACAGAGTCAAAGTGATTGATGGAGCCCCCATGCACATGACCGACAGCTCCTTAATATTTAACAGCAGTAAAAAATAGTGCACAAACGATGTGTTACGGAGTTGCTTTTGGCCTACAAACACATTAAGGTAACTCTGCGTACATTGCCACTGCTCAAATATTAATCACTGAATAATTTAGGCCGTGAATTTATTTGTTTAAAGAAATACTTCAGCAGATATATTCATCCACTGTAGTGCAAATCCATATTTATGATACGGTTATTGGTCTAACGTGTTTTCCAATATCCTTATTTCGGGGTGTTTACTGTAAGAGTCAAAGCCAGCACTGGGAGTGCACCCACCTCTTTGGGGCCCCACTCCCCCACCTCTGTGCCAGCTGTTGCTCATCCCCATCCCGCACAAGCACTGCACTCACCTGGCAGCCCCACACCCAGAGCTGTTCCCTGCACAAGGAACCCAGCAGAACCGCCTCCCCGCACCCCACGGCACCGCGAGGCTCACAGCAGCATTTTGCTTGTTCCATTTTATTTCTTCATTATGAGCCTGCTGGCAGCACTGGGATGTTCACTTGGAGCAAGAGCTTTCTCCCAGGTTGAATGTGCTGCTAAAACCATCCCAAAGGCTGCTCAGGAGAGAGCTGGAGGTCCGACTGTGGCTCAGAGCAGAGGGCTCTCCTCGGGGCAAAGCTCCTGGGAAGCGTTCCCAGCCTGTGCCAGCACTGCGTCACTCTGACATTAAAATCAGGGCTGACCAGCAGCAACAGCCCGCAGCAGCTCTGGGAGTGCTGGCATGGGAAGCTGGAATATGGGGAAGTATAAGAGGTCCCTGAGCTCCCCCCCGTCACAGCAATGAGGCCGGTGTTCTGGTAGGAAAATACAAACTTGATTTTAGGTCCCCTGGGAAATTCTGCTAAGCAATTTATCATGCAACTGATGAAACTGCTATTTAACTTCAAAGCCCTACATAGAATTAAGGAAAGCCTTGAGTTCAAATGAACAGTGTAATATTTGGCACCTGAAATTATGGTAACAGCACATAGCACTGCTCCCCAGTCACCTGGTGCTGCGGATTGCTGTGGGGGCTGGCATTCAGCGGGTGGGCACAGAGCCCTGCATGGGCTGAGCCTGCAGCCCCCGGGTGATGCCCCCACATGCAGGTACCAGGGGGGCAATAGGAAACAGTGCTCAGCCAGCTAGTGCTGATTAGAGCAAAGCCACCTCACGTTAGCAGCATGAGAAGGAGGTTCTGCTCTCCCTGAGGCTGGAGGAAGGAAGGCGACAGACTCTTTAGGAGGGTCTGAGTGATGGGACAAAGGAAAATGGTTTCAAACTATAATGGGAGATTTAGATTGGATGTGACGAAAAAGTTCTTTACGATAAGAGTGGTGTTACGGGCACACTGCTGAAGAACAATTTCCAGCACCATTGAAGAGATTTGTGATTAAACCAGACAGAGGATAGCTGAAAATAGCTAAGGTGAAGTTGTGCACAGCCAAGCTCCCCGGCAGGCGTGTTTTATTTCAGCCAACCAGCAGTGATGGCAGGAATTCAAGCTTTGCAGGTGCCCAGATAGGAGCTCAAATCCCCTCCTAAGCCTCAATGCAATCATGACACACAAATTGCGTCCTTTCCACATTGCTCAGATTTAGGAAGGATTCGTGGTTTTCCTATTTCAGACATGTTTTAAAAGACACAAACAGCTGCTTTGTGTAAGATGGAATGGCATCCAACAACATTTGGGTCCTTGAGAGTCATATGTCCTCCAGCCTTCAGCTCTATGATTACTGTGTTGTTTTATTGGCTCTTTTCTCGATTAAGCGGAATCAGAGTGACAGTCGTGCACCCTATCACTACTTTCTAAGGAACTCTACAGTTACATATTTTAATTCATATTCTTGTTCATTAAAAAAAAACAACTTTGGTTTTAAAGCTGCTTTTTTTTGCAACCAAATTGCATCCACACTACAGAGTGAGAGCTTTCCTGCTGCAGCTTGGGACAAAGCACCAATCCCAAAGACTGCCATCCAGGAACGGTAGTTTTCCTCAGTAAAACACCTGATTGAGGCCATGCAGGCAGAGATCCACCCTTCCCAGCCCTCCTGTGGCCACAAGGCCGCAGCAGATGCCGGTGGCAGCAGGCAGTGCCCACAGCTCCCTGTGGTGCAGAGCCCTGCAGTGCTGGTGCAGCCATGGCTCGGCCCCGGCAGTGCTGGGTGCTTCCACTGTGCACAGCGCCGAGAGCCATTACTTAATTGCTTTGATCTGTGCTCTTGTGAGATCTGTGCACTGTAATTATATTCTTGCTTTAAAAAGAGTGAAGAGGGAAAAAAAGTGTTATTTTGATGTTTTAGTGTTTGTTTCTCAGCAGCATGTGCTTGAAGGGAACTACAGCGATTTATCTTCCCCGATGCCTGCTCTCTACATCTAAAAAAAAAATTATGGGAAGAGCTGCTATGCATTTGCATCTCAATTTTAGCTCGAGCAACGTGACAAGGATTCAGCTAAACGCACTGGCACAGTTAGCAAGGAAAGCACCGAAGTAAACAAAACCTCCAGGGATGCCGACGAAAAAAAGCACTGAAACCAGGACCTGCTCATGGTACAGGAAGCCCAGCACAGGGGTGGGACCCCAAGTGCCTAGAGCCAGGCCAGGACCCAAAGGCACTGCACTCGCTGCTGCTGGGCTGAGTGTGTGGTCAGATGCAGAGCCCCCAGGGTTTGTTCCACAATGCTCTTTCAAAGTTTCATCTGAAATGGAGAAAAATCTCATTTTGAATTCCTGCAAGTTAAAAATACTGACTGTTTGCAGTTTTCTGGGGAAAGTGCTATCCAGCACAGACCACAGAACCCACTATGACAGCACCATTTACAGGTTCAGACACCTGTTTGCATTTTACAAAGAACATGCATTGCATCCAGGTCTGGGCCCCCCGACACAGAGCCGTCAGAGTGGGTGCAGGGGAGGGCATGAGGTACTCAGAGGCTGCAGCACCTCTGCTGGGGAGGAAGGCTGAGGAGGCTGGGGGTGTTCTGTGTGGAAAAGAGGAGCTCCAAGGAGACCTCAGCATGGCCTTTGGTGCCTGAACTGATGAACAGGAGAGCGACGTTTTACACAAGCAGATAGCAATAGGACAAAGGGAAACAGTTTTAAACTAACAGCAGAGGTGTAGGCCAGATGTCAGGAAGAAATCTTTCATTCAGAGGCCGGTGAGGCCCTGGCACTGCTGCCCAGAGCTGCGGGTGCCCCAGCCTTGCCCACTGCCTGCTGTCCCCATGCCTGGAGGTGCATGCAGATGTCACAGTGTGATTTCTCCTGCAGATCACTGCACATGTACTTAAAGATTTCACTGCAAGCACCTCACATTCAGAACAACTTCATTTTCTGTTGCTGTACTGTATGGGAACTGCTGAGTCCCAGTCTGAACCACTGATTGAGCACCTGGGAAAGGACCCAATCAGCCCTGTGAGGTGAAGCCAATTTACCTGTGGGACCAGAAGGTGGAGCCTGGCTGCACCTCTCTTAGACCTCATTTAAGGGCTGACTGCCACTGAGGAAGGGTCTCTGGTTGGAAATCCCTCTTTGGTGGAACTTTCCTCTGTGAGCCTGGAATCTTCTGATACGGGTAAGCAATCTTCCTCCTTTATAGAACCTCTCTATTGTGCTAGTCCTTTTGTCATCACACCTTTGTTATAATGCCTTTCCCATTGTATTGATCTGTCCAATTGCTACACTGTACCAGTAAATGCTTCATTCAAGGCTTGGTTTTCCTCAGTGCATCTCAGGACACAGATGTTTCTGCAAAGTGAGATAGGGCATGCAGCACCAGCAGCTATGGGCTGCTTCTGTCAGAGAGCCTGAATGACCACTGTTCTCTGAGGCATAGGGGAAGCAAAGCTTCAGGCACTACTTCATGAAATACCTCAGGAGCACGCTGAGCTTCAGCAAACAAGAAGCTTCTCTCCAGCAACAGATTGCTTTCTAATTCACAGAATGCAAATGCAGATGCTGTTCTTGGCTCTCAACCAAATTATTGCACATGTTTGTTTCTAAAGTAGCAGCATTTAATACAGTAATGATAAAAGGGAGAACAACATCCCACATCTACCTGCGTGTGCGTGGCTTTGTCACTCCTGCATGGCACTACCAAGATCCTAAACGTAAGGGAAAAGCCAAAGCTGAAGAGATCTTGGGCTGCCTGCCTGCAAAGGACAGACTGGGAGGAAAAGTAACACACCCTGTTGCAGTGTGCTGCTGTGGTCCCGAGGTCATTTTGGTAATGAGTTACCCTCTATCCTGCACCACCTCCACTGCTCACAACTCCAGAACTACATCATGGTTGGCAGCATGTGGGGCTGTCCTGATCCATCCCCACATCTGTCCCAGGCTCTGGGCATAACAACACCCATGGCTGTGGGACTGCAGCTACGGCCACATCTGCAGGGGCACTGAGCACCCCCTGCTCCTCCTCCATCCCTGCACAGAAACCCCTGCCTCCGGCTGCAGGCTCTTCAGTACACACTTTTCTAAGGGTAAAGCTAATCATGTGCTCCTATGCTTCAGGCTGTTTTAGTACACCAAGTGTTAACTGCAAGGGTCCCCACAATTAAGCTGCACATAGCACTTCCCCTGGCTTTCTCCCCCAGAGTCAGCCCATGGCTCTCCATCAGAACCGTCCTCCCCAGCCACTCTGAGGTGCTGGGATTACCAAGTCCCTACCACCTCCCACAAATTACATCTTATCAAAGAAGCACTGAAGTACATGATGCAATTACTCAAAGAACACCGTTCTGCTGCCAGAGACAGCATTCTATGCGTGCCATTGAATTTACAGTTTAAGACTAAATACAGTCAATGAGCACCGATGTGATAAATGTTCCTTTGTTTTTTTTCTTCTTTCCTCCCTCTTCCCAGCACTGACTCATACTGACTACAGCAGGACCCAATGAGGGTGAGATGACACCCAGGGAAGCTCAGCAGCCCTGCTGGGGGATCAGCACTCACTGCCCAGAGGCAAAGACCCACTGCAGGGCCCTCGGGCTGAAGGAGAAGCCCCCTCCAGCAGCTCCCTGCAGCAGGTTGCACAGGAAAGCATTCAGGTGGGTTTGAATCTCTCCGGAAAAGGAGACTCCTCACTTCTCTGTGGGCTGCCTTTTATCTGCCTACCTCGATTTATACAAATACAGTAAGTGCATTTGCCTCGAAAGGCTGTTGTGTTGACAGGCGCTGTATGAACCCTAAACATCACTACTAATAAAAATATCAGTTCAAAAATCAATTAAGTCCCATGTAACCAAGCTCTCGGCAGAGATGAGCCAGTTTATTTCTGCTGAAGTCAATTAAGTTAAACTAATTTACACAGCTGCTAATGCCATCCAGATTTCTGAACAGTAATAAATAGTCTGTTCTCTCCTTTATTTAAACAAAAATGCATTTCTTGTTTAAATAGCAGAAGACCTTTCTGCATTAGCTGTGGAGATTTTTGCTTACATCAGATGCTGCCTTATTCATTTATTTTTAAACCAATAAGCTAAAACTGTTCTCTGAATTTTTCACCTTCTGTAATAGAAACTAGACTTGATATGGCCTTAACAAAATCAATGTCAAAAAGGCAAAGTGTCCTACTTTGGTCTCTGACTGATTTCAGGATGAAGGAGCATCGCTGCAGGCACTGCACCGCACAGGGCTGCAAGGAAGGAGCCTGCTGGAGACCAGCACCTGCTGTTAATTACACCTAATGAAACCTCCCACATTTTAAGGCCCTGTGAGATCTACCAAACCAGGTTTCATGTCTACTTTACCAGCCTGAACTACAAACTGTGCCATAGACACAAGTGCTCCACCACCTGTGCCAAACCAGGTGCGCCCCATCAGAAGGCGCTCACTGGGAGCACACACAGCCCTCACGTGCCCTTCAAATTAGGTATTTTATAGAGATGAAAGCTACACCTCGTCACGATTTAATTACAGGTGGATAATGGAAATTCATAAAAATCCCAAGGTAGCATGTATAGATATAACAAGAAACTTTTGACAAAAACATACTAAGATTGAGTATGCTCTGAGTAGAACATTGAAGGTCTGCTTAACTAGACACATCCAGGTTAATTAAATCACAGTTATCACAGTTATTGAGAGCTGCTTTTTTTTTTTGTTTCCTGTTTGTTAGAGAACACACTGCCAAGCATGCTCCCTTGGTGCTACACATTCAGTAATTACACATACATTTTGATAACTTTTTGTTTTAGTCTTTGCAAACTTGGGCAATTGAGATGAGAGAACGTTATATCAGCTTGCATCCTTCAGAAGCTGAGATGCTGCTCTTCGTTTAAAATAAAAAGGGTACGAGCACATTGCCAGCTCAGGGTGAGCCCAGAGCAGCTCCCCAAACACCCAGGCTTCCCCAGGCTGCCAAATCCCAGCAGAATCATGGAATTACAGAACCACGAAGGCTGGAGAAGACCCTTCAGATCCCCAGCCCACCCCACCATGCCCACTGACCACATCCCCACAGCTCTGGAGCACCTCCAGGATGGTGCCTCCCCACTCTCTGGGCAGCTGTGCCAGTGCTGACTGCTCTTTGGACAAGGAATTGTTCCCAACATCCAACCTGAACCTGCACTGGTGCAACATGAAGCCTCTCGGCTCACCAGCAGAGCAGCTCTGAGCAGTGACTGCTTTGCTGGGCTGCAGCAGCCCTGCTGCACGGGGCCACTGCTGGGCTGTTCCAAACAGTGTAATAAACTGGCTTTTTGTTTCAGTTAGCAAGATCAGAATGAGTTTAGTTGTGGGAAAGAATAATTAGGCACTGACTATGAAATCTGAAGGGGGATGGAGATGAGGATTTTATTACATTTATCACAGCTATAACATTATCTCCATGCAGGCGATGGGAGCTTTAAACTGAGTTTAAACTCTTCGGTGGGCTACAGAGCAAGTTAATAATGCTCTTAAGATGTGGTGCTGTGTATCGTTTGTGACCTTTATTATCATAATATGGAGCAATTATCAACATGCAGAACTAGAGTAATTAGCACACGTTAACAAGTAAAACAGGGCCAGTGAATGAAAATACATTATGATTACATTAAAGAATCAAAGAACTATAGAAAGCTTTGGGTTGGAAGGGGCCTTACAGACCCCCAGCTCATCCACTGCCGTGTGCTGGTTGCCCCCCACCAGGTCGGGCACCAATGCTATTCTGCTCAAGCACCATCAGTGCCGACCTGGCAGCCCATTCCCCGTCCTTGTTTGTGGTCAGGGGTTGAAGGCATTGGATAACACAAGCGAAGGACAGAGCTGAAGGGCTGAACAGCATGAGTGCAGAAAACAAGGATGAAATTTGAGACCTTATCACAAGTCTGCTGAAGTCCACAAAAGCTTTTTAAGCTGAAGGTCTACTGCGATGCCCGTGGCCTTTCTAGAATAACAGCTTACTGGAATCGATTGCTTTTTTAGATCCATTTGTCCTGAACACTTGCTAGGGCTATAAATGCAAATCAGAGCAGCAGTAAATGGAAGGCAGCTCCCTGTCTGCTACCAGGGGACACGGTCACCTCCACCGCACTGAGCCCGGCAGGAATGCGCTGTGCCCGGTGCTGGGGGGCAATGTGGGACAGCGAGGGATCCACACAGCCACCAAGCATGTGGAGCTGCCCACCTGCATGTTTGCAGGGTGCCCAGTGACCTGGATGGGGAGCATGAGAGTTTGTGTGTTCCCACACAGAGCTTCAGGTGACACCCATGGGTAGGAGGCGGTGCGTTATGGAGTGCCAGCTGCAGCCACCCTGAGACCCACACGTTTACAAGAGGCATTTGGGAGAACCCTCTTCACCACCTTTGTTAATGCTCTGTGCAGCTCTCAGAGAATGACCTGCTTTGTCTTTGCCTTTCATTTGTCCCTGCAGAACTTCATCCACCAACACGTCTTTAATGCATTATCTGTGCCAATGACTCACAGCACAGCTTTCAGCTCCAGAACTTTCCCTTCCAGCAAAGACTGCCCTGCTCCGTCAGGGAGTCTCCTCCCTTTGCGGCCAGAGGGACTTGGAGCATCTCCACCTTCTCTTGCTGCACTATCATGCACTTTGCTATGGCCAACATCATGACTGTATGAGCAGCTACATGTAAGCAAAGTTCTCACCCCCAGAACTGCAAACTCACCCCTCCAGCTATGGGGCACCCTCTGGTCCTGACACCTGCAAACAGGGAGCTGAATGGGAAGTAGCCCCAGCAGCCTGAGTGAGCCCTGGGAACACCTTGCTAGCCTGCAGCAGCTCTGCCCTGGGTGACACCAGCCAAGCTACCTGCTCATCCTGCCTGTTGTTATTCATAGGAAGCAACAAAGAGAATGGCAGGCTTTAAGCAATTCACCTGGGACTCATTAAAAATTGTGCGTGTGGTGGAGGGGGAGGAGGTCCTTCCTATGTATCCAGTGCAAGTAAAAGGAAAGTGAAGCTTTTGCATCTTTAGCATTCAGAAGCCAGCATCCAAAGAAGAGGATGTTCTTCACGCAGCAAAGAAACGGACACAGAATGAAAAAAGACACTGGAAAACAAAGGAGGAGATCACATGCTGCACTGCATGGCCAAGGAGAGGGGAAGGAGAAGGAAAGGAAAGTGAGAATTAAAAAAAAGATTTATGATTCGGTTCCTTTTTAAAAAAGGAATAAAGGGAATCTTAAGCTGGAATGTTTTTGGCTCAGTGCTGAGCAGTTGCTCACCCATGTGCTGGCACTCCTCTCTGCTCTTCCCACTCGTGGGGAAGCTGCAGCCCAGGAGGCAGCACTGCCATCAGTGATGGGGTAATGCATTGCTGCTGCCTGTGCTCACCTGTGCCAAGCCTGGAAACAAAGAGTCATGGAAATTCCAATTGTTAGGGTGAGGAATTATTAACAATGGGTTGATGAACACAGTGTTAATTTTCCAACACATTTCCTACAAACTGTTTCCTTAGAAATTTTCCCCAGAGCCCAGAAAGCAGCTCCATGGAGCCCTCGTTAAGTACTGACTGCTGCTGTGGGACCATCACACTGTGGTCAGGGCAGTGTTCCCAGGGCAGTCTGAGCAGGGCTGATGCTTGCTATGGGCAATGCCTCTTCTGCCCCAGGATGGAGGGGTGGGGGAAAATTCCCAATACCAACAAAAGGCATTTTCAGCCCAGGAACAGAACACATGGATCTCAGCAGGGAGAGAGCAAGCTTAAGCAATGGACTTGGTGTAGAGCATGTGTTTGTGACACCCAGCAGGACAGGCACTGCTACATCTCTTTCTTCTGAATGAGAAAGCACCAACTTAGCAATGAAACCCATGGATAAATGGCTCAAAAATAATGTCATTTTCCAACATGATCTGCACTGTGTGCTGCAGCTCACACACTTTATGCTGAGGGAATGCCAATTCCCCGATTTTCCAGGCTCTGTAAGCTCATAATGAAGAGCACACGTTGGGGATTTCAGCCAGCTGCAGAAGCTGTTCTTCCTCTCTGGCTAAGAGGGTAAAACTACAGCCATGCACTTCTGCACTGTGTGTCATTGGTGTCATACAGAGGCCTGGGATGCAGCGCAGCAGCAGCAGCCCTCGTCCAGCACCCAGCTGCAGGAGGAACCAGGGAGCACCCTTTGGACACAGTTTCCCCTTTCCCAGAGGCACCCACTGGCACATACAACTCCTTTTCAGCCACTTACAGTTTACGACCTGATTTCCAGTTTTCCCCAACACAGGAGGATTTCAGGGAAGGCAGAGATGAGCAGCACAAGAATACAGGAGCTGCAATGCTTCCCTTCTTTTTCAGCCACTGAAGGACACTGGTGGCAGCACGGCCCTTGTGCATCACTCACAATCACTGGGGCGTGACATTTATTTCCATGCAACACAAACACTGGATGGAGGAGGGAAGAGCGACCAGGTACATCTTCTATGGATGGATTCAATTTTCCTGGTAAGACTCTCTGTCCCAACGTCGCTATTCTGGCTTTTAATAATTGTAGTTTGGAGACGAAAAAACACTTTTCTCCTTAAAATGAAAATTCACTGATGATCCATTCAGCAGCTACACAGCTCAGCTCTGCTCATCATCATCAAGAAGCATTTGACTGATAAAGCTGAGTTTAAAAGCCCTGATTAGCACATGAAATTACAGAGAAAAAAAAATCAGAGAAAAGCAGAGCTTTTCCCCTAAATACGTGAACCCTTGTTTGTGGGGTATTCAGCATGAGAGAGGAGGATCCCCATCTGGGGGGAGAAAGTGCAGGGAGATGTTTCCAAGTGTGCTACACATCAGCCCTTAACCTAGCGGACATGGCAGCGTAAGGTGGGAGTGAGCTGCAGTAGATCTTCTGATCTACTGAACAACCAGTGCCGATTCCACGTCTTTGTGCACCACCCCACCTCTGTCCTGAGGCCCGTGCCTGGCACCAGCACCCTGCCCTGCTGCACCCCCCCAGCACAGCCCTGGGGAGCAGTGATAAACCCGGGGTGGTGGAGGTGATGGAAAAGCACCTTTTGTCCTCTCACATCTTCCTGCAGGAACTTAATGAGTGCAGCAGAGCAAGAGAAAAAAGACCTCATTCAGTTTTAAAGACATTTAAAGCCTGTTGTTCCTAATGGATCATCACGCTTTAAAGTCAAACCAGCTCGGATGCGTGCAGCTGAGCTCATCCCATAGCACCAGCAGCTTTCAGAGCTGGTCTCAGAGCGCTCCCATTAAAATCCCATCAAATCATTACCATCCGTTTGGCTGAGGACAGAGTTTTAACCTTACACTGCATAATTTGGGGGAAAACTCAGAAATCTGGATGCAGCCCATTACTCATTCAGGGTATTCATTTGTTCTGCTGCCTTCCTGGCTGTACCTCAGGGGTATCCCCCAGTCTGGACACATGGGCAGGGTCAGGTGCTGTGCCCCTGCTCCCACAGGGTTTGTTGATGACCTCAGGGCCCCAGGTGGGCACACAGAGGCCCCAGTGCCCACAGGGTCCCAATCAGAGATTCCATTCAGGCTCTACCATGCACTGCTACAAACCCACACCAGACGTCCACACCAGATGGGCCCTCGCAGGGACAGGGGGCTGCACAGCATCAGGGATTCACCCAGACCCTTCCCACTCCAAGAACACTGAACTGCTCCATCTAAAGCTCCTCTGCATGCTGCCGGGGTGGTCCTGGCTTTGCAGAGATGCACTGTGGAGGCCCCTTTTAATTTCAGCCCATGGATCACACACTTGTTTGGATTTTAATATTGAGTCTACGTTTCAGTGATTTGCATTTAAATGTGTTGTCAGAGAACTTCCAGAAATCTTTAATAACAAGAGCGATTTGCATTTTAATGTGCACTTAAAGAATTTCAAGAAATCTTTTCATGTGAATTGTGTTATCTGAGCAGTGCTTCTATTTGAGGGGCACGAGAGCTGCCAGTTCATGAAGTAAAAGTCAAACCAAACCATTTTTGGAGATAGCCCAGATTTGCTGTGCTCTGCTTGAGAACTCCTCACTGAACAG